ATTGTTTTCGGGACATCACGCTCTCTAATGTGCCCTTTTCTGGTCTTTCGTGGACGACTATTCCTCTTTCTCAAGGTCATCGCTAGGCCGCTTCTCTTCCATTTAAAATATCTCTTTTGCCATATTTGGTCGAGTACTTTGCCCTGACTTCCCTGTCTTATTGGTAGTATATTTTCGTGGCCCCACTTTATCCCATGGGCACACGCTGTGACATACATCTAGTGTCATTTTGTGGAAAATTGATATACTCTTGTTTAGGTTTGGTCACCGCCCAACCGACTTCCAAGAGAAGGTAGCTTTCGATGTTCTGTTTGACTATATGTCGAATACTCCTGTATCTCCGTTACAACGAGAATTCGTCCTCATTGAGAAACCATTGGCTAGTCAAGTCAGCTTCCACGTTACTGAACAGGTTTGAATGCAGTCATTACCAGTTTGTTTGTTCGATTTATAAAGCCTCAAAATTGAAAGATTGAAAGATTGTTGCAGACCACATGCCTAATTCAACTCTCATTTTCCGGTGTGCCGACAAAGCGCTTAGATGATGTCAGCAAAAAGTGAGTCCTTCTTTGCCCTCCTTAGGTACGCAGTTTACACGTATTATGCCCACGCTTTTAACCCATTGAAGACAGAGAATTGTCGGCTTAATTTATTGATATATGTCGTTAGTGAGTTGAAGGAGGATTTCACGATAAATACGAGGATCGAAGAAGGGGCACGGGTGCGGACCGACACGCAATTCACATTGAAGGATATGCTCCTCCATGTAGTATGGCCGCTCGCGCCGCTATTGGCGCACTATCGGCGCGGTACTCCCCCTCCTCGCTGTCTGAGCCTCTGGCCGTTTGGCAGGGATGCACACATTGCGCCTTATACCACGTCGAGTACTCACTCAAACGCGTCGAGAAACGCCACGTGCATGACGAAGGGAGTAAAGAAGTTTTCTGACGAAGACTAAGCCTAGGAAAGTGACGAACCCACCTAAAATCCCCTCTTCTTCCAAGGTCTAGCGCCTGCTACTGAAGCTTCATGAAGGCTATTTGGATCACAATTTCCAAAAATAGAGTGGTAGAATTGATAACAAAGAAAGGGAATTGGAACATGGCCGTGCTTTTCTATTCATGAATTGGTAAATGTAGTGAGATTCGAAAAATGTTATTATTCGACGACAATTCAAAGAGGAAACTCATCGTCGACGCGCTTCGTAAGTCCTCTAGTAGTCATGTCTGTGAAAACACTACTAGAAATCTCTCGATGAAGCGACCGTAAAGAATTTTTGAGTTGCTCCGAGATCCTTAACAGGTTTTTCATTTGTATTCATACGAACGCAGTCGCTTCACACGGATTCTGCTCAGTTTCTTGGCCATATTTCCTGATCTAAATCTTTCCACATGTATTATCGAATTCGATAAACAGTATATCAATTAACGGTAACCGAGCCGTTGAAGGAATCATGACGGAATTGGGAAAATATGCCGATATACACGCACAACAGGGTGTTATCAGTGTGCTAAGTTTGCTTTTTTCAAGTAACTAAAAACCGTTAAATATTCAATGAAAAATCAAACGATGCGTTTCGCACCATAATACGCTCGTGAAACCAATGCACTCTTCTTTTCGGAAATTTCTTCAATCCCATCATAATCATGCTCATGGCGGTTTCCCAACGCGTTTGAGTGAGTACTCGACGTGGTATAAGGCGCAATGTGTGCACCCAACAACAGTGTGATGGATTACTGTAACCATCCTATGTTCCTGAACTTATAATCTTGTTATAGCTGGCATTATCGGCGGGTACTCCCCCTCCTGCCGTCTGAGCCTCTTGGCTGTTTGCGGGATGAGTCAAACATTCGTGTAGGTAATGATAAAATCCAAGAAATATAAAGTGGCATCGGAATGCGTTTGGCAGGACAGGGTCCCGCGCTCGTTCGCTCGATCTGTCCGCCAGAGTGCGAGGCGTGTGTGCCCACGTGGTCGCCAAAGGCTGACACAGATAAAGCTCATGCATGTCGAGCTGAACAAAAGTGTTATAGGTTCATGGAAAAAGTTGTGAAGGAACATTTGGAAGACAAGACTTGGGACATGGAACGAATGGGTTTTCTCATTGGGCAATCAGTGAAGAATGAATTAAAAAAGGTAAGCTTTCTATCTGAAACATATTAGAATTGTAGGGATCTTCATCCCTTACTATTTTATTACATCAACTGGTTTCTTCAGATGGAAAAACATCCTGCAACCAATTGTTTGGTCATATGATCGGACATCAGCTATACGATGAAAATGAGGATCAACTAAAAACGCGGATGGATGAGGTACGGAATTTCTATGAGTGAAGTGTAACAAAAGAGGACCTTTAGTTTCTTTTGAAACACCAATGGCTATCTGCTTGTTGGTAAAGTTTGATGTTATATTATACCAAATTGGCTGCGCACGCATTCGCGTGCATCACACGGGAAAGTGGTGTAAAATAAGGCTGTCGCCATTTTTACAATGCTTTCTGGCAAACTCGTCCACTTCGATGGCACGCTCCACCCGCGTTTCTAATATGGTTGACTCGCTGTCTTTGTTGGACTCGATCCGACACTTTTTTCTGGTCTAAGAGACTCCCTCGAACGAGTGTGATTACTTCGTGGATAACTCCGCCCACTCGCGGTAAGACGAGTCCCCGCTCCTTACCACTTCGCACTTGACCTTTATTTGTTGTTAGCATTCTGCTTTCGCATTTTTGTCGTCCAGATTATTAGGGAGCGAATTATAAACTGGAGCGAGTTTCGCGCGCACATTAAGTGCACAGCCTTCCACCTCCCGGTTAGGCAACCCCATTCCGTTGTAAGACTCTGTGTTTTCCCGGTCTATAGACTCTTGAAACCGAGTTATGATGTTTTGTTGCAAATTCCGCCTACCCCGGTGCACGCTGCATTCACCAACAGCAGCTAACCTACCCTCTCACCAATCTACTCACTTTTCCCCGGTATCCGTACTTCTCTGAATCGGATTATGATAGGATTGGCCCGCTCAATGTGGGCGGAGCTCCACCCGGCTGATGTGTGTTTTGTACTTCTTAACCCGTGCCCCACCCATCCCAAACTTGACCCGGACTCCTGTAGGTGGTTCTTCAGGTAGTACCGAATTTCGTGACAGACGGACGAACAGACAGAGAGAACTTAGCGGATATTATTATTACTTATTTATAATTATTATTTATACTATTATTACTCATTTTCATTTTATAGCTAGAGCTAATTCGCCGTCTACGGTCAGAGCCAGCTTCGTTTTGGTCTGGCCTTGTAAAGAAATACTTCACTAGCCCTCATGTGGTTGTAGTCGGCGTTCCAAGTGAAAAGATGGTTGAACAGGTAGGTTAGACCAATAATTTAAATTTATTCGAAATATCCCAATTTCTTTTATTGCTCATTAATCAGTTCATGCCTGGGTTAGATGTGCTCCACAAAGGCTGCGTCACATATCATGTTATGTCCGCAATACCTGATAATTGAGTACGCTTACGCGGCGCGGCTACCTCGGCTAATTATCCTGCATACTCTCACTCGAAGCGCGGCCAAATTGGCCGCTCCGCGTCTGCGCGCTCAGTTGTCATATAGATGGAACAGCTTGACCTGTGACGATGACTGTGCAGATATGGCCAAATTGCTTCCTCAGCGGTCTCATTGAAGCTTTTTTTCACAGCAACTGTAACAATTTGTATATTCAGGTGGCCAAGGAAGAAAAAACTCGCTTGGATAAGCAGCGTAAAGAACTCGGAAAGGATGGAATTAAGGAGTGTGGAGAGAAAATTCAAGCGGCCATAAAAGAAAACACCGCCAAAAAGCCGAGCGCTGAAGTATTGAACGAGTTGATTGTGAGAAAGTTGGAAGAATTCGATCGATTCCCCGTGGATATGAAGAGTAACAGAGGCGGTTCGCCGTCATCGCAGCCGATCGCCAAGTTCCTGGATCAGTTCCCTTTCCCGGCGACAGTTCACAATTGTCCAACGAAGTTCGTCGAGTTGTTCTTCCTGTTCGACACGAGCGTTTTGACGGTTGAACAGCGGGCTATGTTAGGATGTTTACACCGAGCTTTTATTTGAATCTCCAGCTAAAATCAACGGAGTGGTAAAGAGCGCTGAAGAAGTGTCCAAACTGTACACGAAGGTTGGTTCATTTCATTACAAAATATGCCTGCTCCCAGAAATGATTCATTTTTCAAGGATCTGGTCGATCACTCGATCTATGTGGGTGTCTCTGGCAATTTCGAGAAGTTACTGCATCTAAGAATTGTGGTGAGATTTTGAAAAATTCTTTTAGAAAGGGTGACAGATTCCAGAGCCACGACGGTAAGGCCGATGTCAGACTTTGCGAATCAAGCGATTCGCTAGCGTCCGCGGTCGCGTCGCGGCCAGCGAATCGAGCCATTCGCTGTACGCGACGCGACCGCGGACGCTAGCGAATCGCTTGAGTCTGTCATCGGCCTAAAGGCTCCGGTAGCTTAGCTGGGGAGTATATGGAGATTTCTTTGATTGCTTAAGCAATTTGCTCGGAGATTAAGTTCAAGGGGGTCTGTCAGTAACGTGAACACCTAAGTAGCGAGATCACTTGGGTGGTTGATTTTGAAGATGAAAATAGCGATAGAAAACGCGGCAATTGGAACTCTTTTCTGGACAGTGACGAGTCTCCGACGAAGAGAATCAGGGTCGTGGTGACGAAAGATAAAAGGGACGAGCGACGGTGGGCGTCCGGAGCCGGCGAATTTAGCCGAAGTCCAGAGTTACAAGTTCTTGGCACCCTTGCATGCTCCATGGATAACTCGCATTCTACTAACGACACGTATGGGATTGCTCCTCTCAGCTTCATTTTGAAATAACTCTTCAAGAATTGAAAAAAAAACAATTAGTATGTACGAGTAGGATTCGTTTCATTGACATACAATCGAAGTCCTGATTTTGAAGGCAGTGGTCACGATAGTTGGAGGGCGGTACGGTTTTGATAGCTATTGAATACCACTGGTTGGCACGGCGGCAAGACACGGTCCTAACCATATCCCCGCCGTGACGTCAAATGACCTCACCAAAACCATACCGCCCCACAGACGTCGTGGAATTCGAGTGTTCTCGAAAATTTATTTGTTTCTTTCTTCAAAGGTGAGGTTGAATAGATCAACATCTCCGTCCGTGAACCCCGTTACTCAGCAACTCCACGCTGGGATAACGGTGAGGGCGATGTCAGTCTTTGTGAACTTTGGGTACCAGCCATTAGAGCGATGGGTGTGGGTACTTAGGACAGAACGCGACTTTTTCGCTCTTCGCAACGCGACATCGCGCGGCAGGCTGGCGCACCCGCAGCGAAAACAACTACGGTATGGAAGAACGCGCGATTGGAGCGCGATATTTGTGTCGGCTTTGATTGCGACAAGGAGTTTGAAGCTTAATAGCCATGGATTTGATAATGAACGAGGAAATGGTAACCAGAAGTGGACCGCTAACTAGCAGTGAAGAGGGAGGTAGGTTATTTTTGCAGAGATGGATGGTAGAGCTTCTGGAGAACCTGGAAGAGGAATGGTTGATGGACGTTTGATGAGACGACTGTAAACTTCTGCATAGGGGTTATTTGGGGCCCTGATCATGAATATGACACTCATTTTTCACATTCGTGCTGTTTAACGCATACTTTCTGCTTTTCTAAGCTTTCTCACCTACAGCGCCTACGACTAAGCTTAGGGGAGGGGAGTGAAACTCCGGAGTGGGTAAACCACGCACCGTGTGGCAAAAGTTGGAGTGTGTCAGACCACAGGGGAATGGCCTACCCACTTTGGAGCCCTACACTACTCAAAGGCTTAGTCCTATTGCGATCTAATTAGTGCGAGGGCGCAGACGAGGACGTAAGCAAACCAGCCCTTTTGGCACATCGGCTGGGACCGTATGCTGAATGTTGGGGAGGGGATGGTGTCCCCGACGGTGGACGGACAACTTCAACGCGGTCCTTAGAACCGCCACAATTTGGCGCTTACCTTAGAACTAAGCCTTAAAGAGAGGACGGGTCCGTCCCCTCTCCTAGGCTTAGTCCAAGGGTGAGCAGACCGGTCCTTCTGGCGAAGCTACTGGACCAGCTGCACCACTTGCGTCAGTACTCTCTATCGTACCAACCGAGTTGAAGTAAACCGTCGACCGTTGGGGACCCCATCCCCTCCCCAACATTCAGCATACGGTCCCAGCCGATGTGCCAAAAGGGCTGGTTTGCTTACGTCGCAGACGGAGCAGGAAGCAGGCCGAATAGCGCTAACAACAAATCAGGACCCCGAATAACCCCTATACAGAAGTTTACAGCGAATTTAGTGGGAATCAGTTGTGGCGCCACCCGGCCCCAAATGGCGCCAGCGTCAAAAATGAGTATCATATCCGTGATGAGGACAGAAGCGTTCCGTAAAAGATGTTATACCCTTATGCAGATGTCTATACAACAATATGAACCCACAAAATGCAAGCACAAGCGACTACTAAACCCTCGTTCACCGATAATTCGTAAAACACCATTTGTGTGGCATCGCCCGGAATCGTGTAAGTCACAAAACGTTTTCAATAATGAGACAGAATTAGTGATTTCACCGCATTTATCAATACAATGGGTGTGAGCGCGGGCAAGTAAGGAATCAGAAACTTACAAATTCACGCATGCAAAAAAGCTGCTCCAATCGCGCGTTCTTCCATACCGTAGTTGTTTTCGCTGCGGGTGCGCCAGCCTGCCGCGCGATGTCGCGTTGCGAAGAGCGAAAAAGTCGCGTTCTGTCCTAAGTACCCACACCCAGAGCGATTCGCTGACCACAGAACGCGACCGCGAACGCTAGCGAATTGTTCGATTCGCAAAGTCTGACATCGGCCTAAGGCGATCTCTGGGACTTAGCGCCTTTTTGCACGTGAAATAAACTAAATTTGATATTCAATTTCCAATGATTCCAGGTGGATGCGGAAACTGGCTTCCCAAATTTAGCCAAATGGGCCGAAATCTTCACAGTTGGTGTCATGTTTGACATCCAACGTGTGAAGCAATGCGCAAAGAAGCTAGCAAGTGATGCACGTGAAAAGAAACGTGATGGTTGTGCTGTTGCTAACAGCGCTCTCAGCACACTGATTTACCATCCCAGTAAGTTGTTTTACTATTGATTAGTTCGAGAATAGAAAGGGATCCTTACAAAGTAGGTCCCGTCTATTTTGCAAAACGAGAAGAACGTCGAGTGCAGATTGCACACCACAAATCGACGGCCGAGAATAAAGTATGAATGAAAAAGCCCTCTTTTTGGGCCGTCGTAATTTGTGGTGTGTGGTCTGCATTCGCACTGTTCTCGTTTCCCGAAACGAGACTACAAATGCATTTTCAGACACTAATGGTTACATGTATGACGAGCTGATCGCTTGGAAGTTTCAAACGAGAATTTGCGAAAGGATTGTGATTCGAACCGCAAAGAAGTCTTAGACAGCCTGAGAAGGTGTGTCTTGTGCACTTTTAATTCCCTTCACGCAAACGTTATAGTTGGCAGAACTTGGGCACGCCATTTGGAAAGTATCAACGGACCAACATCGAGACAAAAAAGCACTTCGATTTTTTTTGACCGTCGCCCTTTTACTATCAGTCTGCAATTACCCATATGCGAACAGGCGAAACAAGCGCCGCGCATGATCTCCGCAAACGCTCTAGCTTCGAAAAGTTATAATTGATTCTGTGAATGGTCTTGGTTAAGTGGTTTTCATTGAAAGGGGAGCGGTTCTTTCCTGACAAACGACTATTTTGCTAAAATATCGAATTAAGCGTGCTCCTCGTGGCGACGTAGTCGATTTCCAAATGTTAGTGCTGTTAAAAAATCGATCGGGTTTTGAGAATACTTCAGTACTTGCATCTCATCTGGGCACTGTGCATCCACTTAGTTACCTGTCACGGCTCGCCTCTAGGACTTCACTTTGCAGTCTAAGGCCGATGCCAGGCTTTGCGAATCGAACGCGCTTCGCGATTCACTAGCGTCCGCGGTCGCGTCGCGTACCAGCCAATTGAGTGATTCGCTGTACGCGACGCGACCGCGGACGCTAGTGAATCGCTTGATTCGCAAAGTCTGACATCGGCCTAAGATATTTTTTCTTCAGCTCCGCTTGGCCCTGTTCTCGCATGGCGTTAATGCTCATTTGGTATGCAATGTGGATCTTATTGACAGCAAGCAGTTCGATCCAATTCAATGGAGCTTTGCGGAGCGGTTTTATGGCAATGCTGAAAAATTCAAGGTGAGCTGATTTCTTATTGAAACACAGTGAATATTAGCCACCTGTTAGAAAAACAAAATCCTTTCTTTCAACCAGTCGGCCGTAGTTCTGTGCGGCAGGCCGTGTCGCGACCGCACGCTCAATTGTCACATATTGCGGTTACGATTATAACTTGTTTGAAGTTGGAAATATACTAATTGTTCTAGGCGAAAGCCGGCGAGTCGATCGATACTGCATTCGTGGGAAGACAGAAAGTGATAAGTGTGGGTGGATCGGAGTCTTCATTCATTTACCAACTATGTATGATGGACTGCGATTGGATGAGCGATGAGCTTGTACCAACAATGCTGTTTACACAGTATTTAAGTCAGTGTGAAGGTAAGGATGACGTTTTTCGTATTTGAAGTGAACTAGCGGGAGGGGGTGGTGTAGCAAGAAACGCCCCATCTAGCGAGCATGGTAATGAACTCTGGATCGGATCCCTCAGGCCAGCCATGTCTTCCATCAAGGGCAAGCCAGACCCGAGAAATCCCAAAGCGCGCGAGCTACAAATCGTGTTTGCTGGAATCGAGAGCGGAATTCTGGGGTGGTAAAAAGATTCGCTGGGTGTGTATCAGTTCGACTTTGGTGAAATCACGTCAGAAGGACACCCCAGATTCGCTTGTAGCAAGCCTAAGCCTAAGACTAGGCCTAACCCTAGTCTCAAGCATAAACATTGTGGAACATAAGCCTAAGTTCAGCATAAGCCTAACCTTAAGCTCCAATGATTGCGGAGCTGTGGTGAGCTGACCTAGGAGGAGAACTGAGCGTCTTCCAAATTTGGTTTGGATTTAGAGTTCTGGTTTTAGGAGATTTACTTTTCTTCTCCGAGCTCGACTTCGGAGGAAGTGAGGTATGCTTTTAGGTAAGATTGGGCAGGCGTGGCTCGAGTGGGGCTGGCACGGAGAGGAAGGGGGTGTCGGAGTAGGGTCGTATCGGCTGTCAAATTCTTTTTCAAGTGGCTCACCCTACTTCCACC